GTGAGATACCTCACTCATGTTATCAGAGAACCGGGGTTACGTGAGTAACCTAAAGTTCTCTTTCAAACATTCTTTCGGTATCTCACTATGGGATATAGACAACTCCTGTATTGCAGATATGCTGTCTGAAGCAGGCATGTCAACCAACTCAGTGATGTGTGATAGCATAAGAATGAAAACCCTCCACTATTCACAGAATAGAACTGGGACATGTGAAAAATTTTTTTATAATAATAAAAACGTCCTCTGTACTAGTGTTTTTTTGTTGTTGTTTTTTTACACACTTAGGACGGAATGAGCCAATGACGGCTCTGTAACATCCAGCCTATACAATCTGACAAAAGTGTGTGGCGATGCCCAGTTCGCCACCTCACAAATGTCTTGAATTGAAACGCCCTTAAACCACACCCATGAGGTGGCTAAACCTCGGGTACTATGAGCACTCAGCCCTTCTGGAGGACTAAGACCCATGCTATTATAACTCAATATAATAGCTTCCACCACCCAGTGGGACAGGCGCTGACGAGAAATAGGTTTACCCTTATGAGAATCAGCCCATGAAACAAATAACTGATTACTCCTTCTTAATCCCTTCGTCCTGTCCACATAATGATGCAACGCACGGACAAGGCACAAACAATGAAGCCGCTCTTCTTCCGATGAGGAAAAAGGCAGCAGATGAAAAGCCAGTAAATCCACCTGTCTACAGTCGAAAGCTGACTCGCTCACTTTAGGCACAAATGCTGGATTCGTCTTGAGAGTTACTCACAAGAAATCCATAGCAAACAGCATACAGGAGTTATGAACCGACAAAGCATGAAGTTCACTAACTCGTTTTGCGGTCGAAAGAGCCAATAACAAAGCAACCTTTAGCGAAAAAAGCCACCGACAGCTCCCACGGCGGAATCAGCGGCTTTGAAACCCTGTTCAGACGCTGCGCACCCCTCATAAACCTGCACACAAGCGGGTGCTGACCAATTGTATTTCTATCAATCCCCACATGGCATGCAGAAATTGCGGCAAGATAAACTTTAACAGTAGAGAAGGCTCTGCCCTTATCTAAAAGTTCTTGCAGAAAACATAACACCTCTGCCACCGAACAGTGAAAAGGAACAATTTGCCTTTGCTCGCACCAAAGCTCAAACACATTCCATTTGCCATCATATACAGACCGAGTCGAAGCCGCTCTCGCATTTTTAATCATTTCAATCACCCTCGGAGGCAAACCCGTAACACTTAAATTCAACCTCTCACGGGTCAGGCCCAAAGAGCCACTTTGTCTGGTGCCAGGTGAAAAATCTCTCCGCACTCTTGTGAGAGGAGGTCTCTGCGCAACGGGAGAGGCCAAGGCCGATCGTGCAGGAGCTGGATTATCTCTGTCAGCCACAACTTCCCTGGCCAGTTCGGAGCAATCAGTATTACTGAATGACCGCACTCAGTACTCAGTGGAGGAAACGTGTAAAGCAGTACACACCCATAGGTGCACCGTCTCTCGCCAGAGAAAAGAATAGAGGGCAATGAGTATTTTCAACCGACAGACGTGGTGTAATTGGTGCTTCCAGGATTGGTCACGCCCGAGGCGATTCCCATAGTGAGATACCGACTGAATGTTTGAAAGACAACCAATATCTAAGGAACAGGATGAATGTTGGTCAATAACTCCCCCAAAAAAAGGCCTACATAATTAGGGGTGCTCCGATTGATCGTCAGTCTCTGTCCGGCGCGGGTGAAATAATTATAATGCTGAAGGTGAGGTACTCCCCTTCATATTTCTAAATTAAATAACTTATAAAGTAATTTGAAAACCTGAGACGTAATTTTACAAACAGCGTGAGTGAATCACTGCGCGCACGCTCTCTCTTTCTCTCTCAAAATATGCAAATGGCTTCAAATCACCACACATCGCATCTGTCTATAAGCGAGCCGCAGGCTGCACAGTTGACACAGGAATTGTCACTTGCACAATCGAGGCAGTGTCACATCGTCACTAAAGTTTATAAATTGCATTACTTTTTAATTTATTTATATAAATTATATTAAGACAAAAAATGTGTTTAATATTTTATGCAACACCGTAAAAAGTGTCAGAGAAAATAAAAATGTTGTAGGCTACAAAAATTGTAGGCTATTTCTTATTTTTATTCGTCTTGCCAGGATACAATTCGTTTAGCATTTACAACACAATAGCAAAAAAGTGTCGCAGAGAGAAAAAAAATAATGTAGGTTGTACAAAAATAAACTTATTAGCAATTTTTTTTTAGTAGGAAAAGTGTCGCAGAGAAAAATAAATAAATACGACATCTGTCATTTAAAATTATAGGCTAAGCAAAATATAAACAAAACCGAGTTGAACGCATTGCTTTGCTCCATCCTTATGCTGCTCTGTCACTCATCGACAACCTGTCTGTTCTGTCTGAGGGCCGTATATTTACCACAGGTACAGCCTGCTCTGAGCATCGTTATGCACATGCTGCGCACAGACCCCGCAAATAAAAGGCGTGACGCTGAAAGCATGCGTGCAGCGCGTGCATAACAGTCC